CCGGCACCCCTGTGTGTCCTGACAACACCTATGTCCTGACAGCACCTCTGTCCTGCACCCCTGTGTATCCTGACAACACCTGTGTCCGGCACCTCTGTGTATCCTGACAACACCTATGTCCTGCACCCCTGTGTGTCCTGACAACACCTCTGTCCTGCACCCCTGTGTGTCCTGACAACACCTCTGTCCTGCACCCCTGAATGTCCTGACAACACCTGTGTTCTGACAACACCTGTGTCCTGACAACACCTCTGTTCTGACAACACCTGTGTCCTGATAACACCTGTGTCCTGCACTCCAGTGTGTCCTGACAACACCTCTGTCCTGACAACACCTCTGCCCTGCACCCCTGTGTGTCCTGACAATACCTGTGTCCTGCACCCCTGTGTCCTGCACCCTTGTGTCCTGCATCCCTGTGTGTGCTGCACCCCTGTGTGTCGTGCACTCCTGTATCCTGCACCCCTGTGTGTCCTGCACTCCTGCGTCCTGCACCCCTATGTGTCCTGCACCCTTGTGTGTCCTGCACCCCTGTCTCCTGTATGCCTGTGTTTTGCACCCCTATGTGTCCTGACAACACCTCTGTCCTGCACTCCTGTGTGTCCTGACAACACTTGTGTTCTGTGCCCCTGTGTGTCCTGACAACACTTGTGTCCTGCACCCCTGCGTGCCCTGACAACACCTGTGTCCGGCACCCCTTTGTGTCCTGACAACACCTCTGTCCTGCACCCCTGTGTGTCCTGACAACACCTGTGTCCGGCACCCCTGTGTGTCCTGACAACACCTATGTCCTGACAGCACCTCTGTCCTGCACCCCTGTGTATCCTGCCAACACCTGTGTCCGGCACCCCTGTGTGTCCTGACAACACCTATGTCCTGCACCCCTGTGTGTCCTGACAACACCTCTGTCCTGCACCCCTGTGTGTCCTGACAACACCTCTGTCCTGCACCCCTGAATGTCCTGACAACACCTGTGTTCTGACAACACCTTTGTCCTGACAACACCTGTGTTCTGACAACACCTGTGTCCTGATAACACGTGTGTCCTGCACTCCAGTGTGTCCTGACAACAGCTGTGTCCTGCACTCCAGTGTATCCTGATATCATCTGTGTCCTGACAACACCCGTGTCCTGACAACACCTCTGTCCTGCACTCCAGTTTGTACTGACAACACCTGTGTCCTGCACTTCAGTGTGTCTTGATAACACCCGTGTCCTGATATCATCTGTGTTTTACCAACACCTGTTTCCTAACAACACCTGTGTCATGCACTTCAGTGTGTCCTGTTAACACCTGTGCCCTTACATCATTTGTGTCCTGACATCTGTGTCCAGCCAGCACCTGTTTCCTGATAGCACCTGTGTCCTGTTAACACCTGTGTCCTGATATCATTTGTGTCCTGCCAACACCTGTTCCCTGACAACATCTGTGTCCTGCACTCCAGTGTGTCCTGTTAACACCTGTGTCCTGACATCGTTTGTGTCCTGACATCATTTGTGTCTGCCAACACCTGTTTCCTGCCAACACCTGTGTCCTGCATAGGATTGTCAGGTGTGTACCAAGTGTGCTAGAGAAGGAAATTAACAAAATAAAAAATAGTCTTGACAGTACACATCTGACTGTCAAGTAGCAGACTTACCCTCTTGCTAGCCAGGTGCTTGACAGTACACATCTGACTGTCAAGTAGCAGACTTACCCTCTTGCTAGCCAGGTGCTTGACAGTACACATCTGACTGTCAAGTAGCAGACTTACCCTCTTGCCAGCCAGGTGCTTGACAGTACACATCAGACTGTCAAGTAGCAGACTTACCCTCTTGCCAGCCAGGTGCTTGACAGTACACATTGACTGTCAAGTATCAGACTTACCCTCTTGCCAGCCAGGTGCTTGACAGTACACATCTGACTGTCAAGTATCAGACTTACCCTCTTGCCAGCCAGGTGCTTGACAGTACACATCTGACTGTCAAGTAGCAGACTTACCCTCTTGCCAGCCAGGTGCTTGACAGTACACATCTGACTGTCAAGTATCAGACTTACCCTCTTGCCAGCCAGGTGCTTGACAGTACACATCTGACTGTCAAGTAGCAGACTTACCCTCTTGCTAGCCAGGTGCTTGACAGTACACATCTGACTGTCAAGTAGCAGACTTACCCTCTTGCCAGCCAGGTGCTTGACAGTACACATCTGACTGTCAAGTAGCAGACTTACTCTCTTGCCAGCCAGGTGCTTGACAGTACACATCTGACTGTCAAGTAGCAGACTTACCCTCTTGCCAGCCAGGTGCTTGACAGTACACATCTGACTGTCAAGTAGCAGACTTACCCTCTTGCCAGCCAGGTGCTTGACGTACACATCTGACTGTCAAGTAGCAGACTTACCCTCTTGCCAGCCAGGTGCTTGACAGTACACATCTGACTGTCAAGTATCAGACTTACCCTCTTGCCAGCCAGGTGCTTGACAGTACACATCTGACTGTCAAGTAGCAGACTTACCCTCTTGCCAGCCAGGTGCTTGACAGTACACATCTGACTGTCAAGTAGCAGACTTACCCTCTTGCCAGCCAGGTGCTTGACAGTACACATCTGACTGTCAAGTAGCAGACTTACCCTCTTGCCAGCCAGGTGCTTGACAGTACACTTCTGACTGTCAAGTAGCAGACTTACCCTCTTGCCAGCCAGGTGCTTGACAGTACACATCTGACTGTCAAGTAGCAGACTTACCCTCTTGCCAGCCAGGTGCTTGACAGTACACATCTGACTGTCAAGTAGCAGACTTACCCTCTTGCCAGCCAGGTGCTTGACAGTACACATCTGACTGTCAAGTGGCAGACTTACCCTCTTGCTAGTCAGGTGCTTGACAGTACACATCTGACTGTCAAGTAGCAGACTTACCCTCTTGCTAGCCAGGTGCTTGACAGTACACATCTGACTGTCAAGTAGCAGACTTACCCTCTTGCTAGCCAGGTGCTTGACAGTACACATATGACTGTCAAGTAGCAGACTTACCCTCTTGCTAGCCAAGTGCTTGACAGTACACATCTGACTGTCAAGTAGCAGACTTACCCTCTTGCTAGCCAGGTGCTTGACAGTACACATCTGACTGTCAAGTAGCAGACTTACCCTCTTGCTAGCCAGGTGCTTGACAGTACACATTTGACTGTCAAGTAGCAGACTTACCCTCTTCCTAGCCAGGTGCTTGACAGTACACATCTGACTGTCAAGTAGCAGACTTACCCTCTTGCTAGCCAGGTGCTTGACAGTACACATCTGACTGTCAAGTTAGCAGACTTACCCTCTTGCCAGCCAGGTGCTTGACAGTACACATCTGACTGTCAAGTAGCAGACTTACCCTCTTGCCAGCCAGGTGCTTGACAGTACACATCTGACTGTCAAGTAGCAGACTTACCCTCTTGCCAGCCAGGTGCTCTTGACAGTACACATCTGACTGTCAAGTATCAGACTTACCTCTTGCTAGCCAGGTGCTTGACAGTACACATCTGACTGTCAAGTAGCAGACTTACCCTCTTGCCAGCCAGGTGCTTGACAGTACACATCAGACTGTCAAGTAGCAGACTTATCCTCTTGTCAGCCAGGTGCTTGACAGCACACATCTGACTGTCAAATAGCAGACTTACCCTCTTGCCAGCCAGGTGCTTGACAGTACACATCTGACTGTCAAGTATCAAACTTACTCTCTTGCCACCCAGGTGCTTGACAGTACACATCTGACTGTCAAGTATCAGACTTACCCTCTTGCTAGCCAGGTGCTTGACAGTACACATCTGACTGTCAAGTAGCAGACTTACCCTCTTGCCAGCCAGGTGCTTGACAGTACACATCTGACTGTCAAGTAACAGACTTACCCTCTTGCCAGCCAGGTGCTTGACAGTACACATCTGACTGTCAAGTGGCAGACTTACCCTCTTGCTAGCCAGGTGCTTGACAGTACACATCTGACTGTCAAGTAGCAGACTTACCCTCTTGCTAGCCAGGGTGCTTGACAGTACACATCTGACTGTCAAGTAGCAGACTTACCCTCTTGCTAGCCAGGTGCTTGACAGTACACATATGACTGTCAAGTAGCAGACTTATCCTCTTGCTAGCCAAGTGCTTGACAGTACACATCTGACTGTCAAGTAGCAGACTTACCCTCTTGCTAGCCAGGTGCTTGACAGTACACATCTGACTGTCAAGTAGCAGACTTACCCTCTTGCTAGCCAGGTGCTTGACAGTAAACATCTGACTGTCAAGTAGCAGACTTACCCTCTTGCTAGCCAGGTGCTTGACAGTACACATCTGACTGTCAAGTAGCAGACTTACCCAATTGCTAGCCAGGTGCTTGACAGTACACATCTGACTGTCAAGTAGCAGACTTACCCTCTTGCCAGCCAGGTGCTTGACAGTACACATCTGACTGTCAAGTGGCAGACTTACCCTCTTGCCAGCCAGGTGCTTGACAGTACACATCTGACAGTCAAGCCGCAGACTTACCCTCTTGCCAGCCAGGTGCTTGACAGTACACATCTGACTGTCAAGCCGCAGACTTACCCTCTTGCCAGCCAGGTGCTTGACAGTACACATCTGACTGTCAAGCCGCAGACTTACCCTCTTGCCAGCAGGTGCTTGACAGTACACATCTGACAGTCAAGCCGCAGACTTACCCTCTTGCCAGCCAGGTGCTTGACAGTACACATCTGACAGTCAAGCCGCAGACTTACCCTCTTGCCAGCCAGGTGCTTGACAGTACACATCTGACTGTCAAGCCGCAGACTTACCCTCTTGCTAGCCAGGTGCTTGACAGTAAACATCTGACTGTCAAGTAGCAGACTTACCCTCTTGCCAGCCAGGTGCTTGACAGTACACATCTGACAGTCAAGCCGCAGACTTACCCTCTTGCCAGCCAGGTGCTTGACAGTACACATCTGACAGTCAAGCCGCAGACTTACCCTCTTGCCAGCCAGGTGCTTGACAGTACACATCTGACAGTCAAGCCGCAGACTTACCCTCTTGCCAGCCAGGTGCTTGACAGTACAAGGTAGTCTGCCAGTTTGGTCAACAAAGCCGGTAATGTTCAACTCAGAGGCTCGCTCTCCGAACTCCGGCTTCACTACTGCAAATATATGTGAAATATATGAGTGAAGGAGGTCACAGATGTTAGATGTAACAGTGAAAAATATATGAGTGAAGGAGGTCACAGATGTTAGATGTAACAGTGAAAAATATATGAGTGAAGGAGGTCACAGATGTTAGATGTAACAGTGAAAAATATTTTCCCCAGGCAGTGTGACCTGTAACCTGCTTATCTTTATTGATAATAATAATAATAATAATAATAATAATAATAATAATAATAATAATAATAATAATAATAATAATAATAATAATAATAATGATAATAATAATAATAATAATAATAATAATAATAATAAAAATTTAATAATAATAATAATAATAATAATAATAATAATAATAATAATAATAATAATAATGATAATAATAATATAATAATAATAATAATAATAATAATAATAATAATAATAATAATAATAATAATAATAATAATGATAATAATAATAATAATAATAATAATATATTATTATTATTATTATTATTTTTATTATTATTATTATTATTATTACTACTACTACTACTACTACTACTACTACTACTACTACTATACTACTACCACTACAACAACTACTACTACTACTACTACTACTACTACTACTACTACTACTACTACTACTACTACTACTACTACTACTACTACTACTACTACTACCACTACAACAACTACTACTACTACTACTACTACTACTACTACTACTACTACTACTACTACTACTACTACTACTACTACTACTACTACTATACTACTACTACTACTACTACTACTACTACTACTACAACTAGCAACGTAGAGTTAGTCACAGGCTAGATATTTGTGGCAACACTGTCAATGTTACTAGCGACATAAGTGGTGTCTGAGACCTTGGTGTGGTTCACACTTGCTGTTAGCACAGGTGTTTGTTGTGAGGACGAGGAGGAGAGAGAGAGAGAGAGAGAGAGAGATAAAGGGAGAATGAAGGGGAATAAAGAACTGGAAATTTTTATTCTAGTGAAATGTCTAGGGAAATCAGGTTAACTGAATGTGACCTGTTTATCTCTCTCTCTCTCTCTCTCTCTCTCTCTCTCTCTCTCTCTCTCTCTCTCTCTCTCTCTCTCTCTCTCTCTCTCTCTCTCTCTCTCTCTCTCTCTCTCTCTCTCTCTCTCTCTCTCTCTCTCATATCTAAGTAAGAGTCTCTTAATACCTAATAACGAGGGATACACAATACGAGAAAGCACCTAACGAGATGAGTGGAACATCTGTGGATGTGTACCTGGAGGATGTTCTTGGGGTCAGCTCCTCCCGCTGCCTAGTCCAAGGCCAGGCCTGATGGTGGATCAGGGCCTCATCAACCAGGCTGTTACTGCTGGCCGCATGTAAACCGACGTAGGAACCACAGCCCGCCTGGTCTGGTACTGATTTTAGGTATCTGTCCAGCTCCCTCTTGAAGACAACCAGGGGTCCTGAGGACAACCAGGGGTCTTGAAGACAACCAGGGGTCTTGAAGACAACCAGGGGGTCTTGAAGACAACCAGGGGTCTTGAAGACAACCAGGGGTCCTGAGGACAACCAGGGGTCTTGAAGACGGCCAGGGGTCTTGAAGACAACCAGGGGTCTTGAAGACAACCAGGGGTCCTGAGGACAACCAGGGATCTTGAAGACGGCCAGGGGTCTTGAAGACAACCAGGGGTCTTGAAGACAACCAGGGGTCTTGAAGACAACCAGGGGTCTTGAAGACAACCAGGGATCTTAAAGATAACCAGGGGTCTTGAAGACAACCAGGGATCTTAAAGATAACCAGGGGTCTTGAAGGCAACCAGGGATTTTGAAGACAACCAGGGATTTTGAAGACAACCATGGGTCTTGAAGACAACCAGGGATTTTGAAGACAACCATGGGTCTTGAAGACAACCAGGGTCTTGAAGACAGCCAGGGGTCTATTGGTAATCCCTATTACGTATGCTGGGAGACAGATGAACAGTCTTGGGCCCCTGACACTTATTGTGTTGTCTCTTAGTGTACTCGTGGAGCCCCTACTTTTCATTGGAGGAATGTTGCATCTCCTGGCATGTTGCATCTCCAGTAATGTTGCATCTCCTGGCATGTTGCATCTCCCGTGATGTTGCATCTCCTGGCATGATGCATCTCCCGTGACGTTGCATCTCCTGGCATGTTGCATCTCCAGTAATGTTGCATCTCCTGGCATGTTGCATCTCCCGTGATGTTGCATCTCCTGGCATGATGCATCTCCCGTGACGTTGCATCTCCTGGCATGTTGCATCTCCAGTAATGTTGCATCTCCTGGCATGTTGCATCTCCCGTGATGTTGCATCTCCTGGCATGTTGCATCTCCCGTGATGTTGCATCTCCTGGCATGATGCATCTCCCGTGACGTTGCATCTCCTGGCATGCTGCATCTCCAGTAATGTTGCATCTCCTGGCATGTTGCGTCTCCCGTGATGTTGCATCTCCTGGCATGTTGCATCTCCAGTAATGTTGCATCTCCTGGCATGTTGCATCTCCCGTGATGTTGCATCTCCTGGCATGATGCATCTCCCGTGACGTTGCATCTCCTGGCATGTTGCATCTCCAGTAATGTTGCATCTCCTGGCATGTTGCATCTCCCGTGATGTTGCATCTCCTGGCATGTTGCGTCTCCCGTGATGTTGCATCTCCTGGCATGTTGCGTCTCCCGTGATGTTGCATCTCCTGGCATGATGCATCTCCCGTGATGTTGCATCTCCTGGCATGTTGCATCTCCCGTGATGTTGCATCTCCAGTGATGTTGCATCTCCCGTGATGTTGCATCTCCCGTGATGTTGCATCTCCAGTGATGTTGCATCTCCCGTGATGTTGCATCTCCAGTGATGTTGCATCTCCCGTGATGTTGCATCTCCCGTGATGTTGCATCTCCAGTGATGTTGCATCTCCCGTGATGTTGCATCTCCCGTGATGTTGCATCTCCAGTGATGTTGCATCTCCCGTGATGTTGCATCTCCAGTGATGTTGCATCTCCAGTGATGTTGCATCTCCCGTGATGTTGCATCTCCCGTGATGTTGCATCTCCCGTGATGTTGCATCTCCCGTGATGTTGCATCTCCCGTGATGTTGCATCTCCCGTGATGCTGCATCTCCCGTGATGTTGCATCTCCTGCCGAGTCTTTTACCAGAAATATGCAGATAAATAGTTGAGAGAATCCACAAATTCATGAACTAGACAAATGTGAACACGTGGGTTTCTTTACTATTGAGAAGCTTCACCAGACACTGCCTTCATCAGTCCTATACCAAGAAGAATGGTGGTGATCGGAAGCCTTTTGAGGTATCAGTCGCCTCAGGCTGAGGGGACTGATACCTTGATACTGATGATGATCATCTCTCAGTTTCAAGGTCTCCTGCGTGTTTCGCCCTTGATTCTACAGGTGAGTGTTGATGCTGGAAGAAACACTGTGATGAATGTTTGTGTTGACCTAGACAACGGTGATGTATGTTTGTCAAGACTGAGGGACTGATCACCTTACAGTTACTACAAGACTCAGGGACTGATCACCTTACAGTTACTACAAGACTCAGGGACTGATCACCTTACAGTTACTACAAGACTCAGGGACTGACCCCCCTCATATGTACCTCTTCACTGCTTCGACTGAGGAGTCCCGCTGAGCAGGGGAAGCGTTGCAACCGTGAGTATTCCCGTATTTTCTAATTCTTGGTTCTTATACATTCCCCCAGTATCATCACGTTCCTCCTCCTCCTCACAGACAACACCACCACACTGTGTTAGAGATGGACCTGCCTAGAATGGGCCAGTAGTCCTGTTGCAGTGCTCCTTCCTGTGTTATACCAGCTGACACTGCTACGACAAGCACTACTCTCCGTCAGCCCTTGACTAACACCCGTCAGCCTCTCCGTGTGTATACACACAATGTATACACGCCTCTCTCTGTGTGTATACACAAGGATATACACGCCTCTGTGTGTGTGTGCATACAAGGATATACACGCCTCTCTCTGTGTGTATACATAAGGATATACACGCCTCTGTGTGTGTGTGCATACAAGGATATACACGCCTCTCTCTGTGTGTATACACAAGGATATACACGCCTCTGTGTGTGTGCATACAAGGATATACACGCCTCTCTCTGTGTGTATACACAAGGATATACACGCCTCTCTCTGTGTGTATACACAAGGATATACACGCCTCTGTGTGTGAGCATACAAGGATATACACGCCTCTCTGTATGTATACACAGGATACACGCGTCTGTGTGTGTATGTTCTGTGTGTATACACAGGATATACACGCGTCTGTTTGTGTATGTTCTGTGTATGGTGGTATACACTGTGTATAGTGTGTATACACCTGCTTGCTGGTAATGAGAACTTACTAACTGGTTTTAAAATCCTGTATGATTGAGGGATTACACTGAGAGAACCTTGTTTAAACTTGAGGATGTTGTAGGTTAGCAGGGAGCTGCCTGCACTGTTATTGTAGGTTAGCAGGGAGCTGCCTGCACTGTTGTTGTAGGTTAGCAGGGAGCTGCCTGCACTGTTATTGTAGGTTAGCAGGGAGCTGCCTGCACTGTTGTTGTAGGTTAGCAGGGAGCTGCCTGCACTGTTGTGTTAGGTTAGCAGGGAGCTGCCTGCACTGTTGTTGTAGGTTAGCAGGGAGCTGCCTGCACTGTTGTTGTAGGTTAGCAGGGAGCTGCTTGCACTGTTGTTGTAGGTTAGCAGGGAGCTGCCTGCACTGTTGTTGTAGGTTAGCAGGGAGCTGCTGCACTGTTGTTGTAGGTTAGCAGGGAGCTGCCTGCATGTTGTTGTAGGTTAGCAGGGAGCTGCCTGCACTGTTGTTGAAGGTTAGCAGGGAGCTGCCTGCACTGTTGTTGTAGGTTAGCAGGGAGCTGCCTGCACTGTTGTTGTAGGTTAGCAGGGAGCTGCCTGCACTGTTATTGTAGGTTAGCAGGGAGCTGCCTGCACTGTTGTTGTAGGTTAGCAGG